AATCTTGTAAAATCTGTATTGATCTTCTTTATCAATATATATTTTAAATTTGAAAATTGTGTTTGTATTCATCCCCCCCCCCTTCTACAACCTGTTTAGTATTCTTGTAGACCCTTTTGGGACCAACATTCCCTCCAGATACAAAAGGATGGGTTGGCTTAACAAGTGTCTACATCAACTTCAAAAGGCTGAAATAAAAAGTACTAGCATGTATGGATCAACAAATTAAATAAAGATAACTCAAAAAAAATTGGCATGCAACATTTAATGCAATGGTGGCTACTAAGGGTGATCCTTGACATATGTTGCAACTCACCCTTTCAAGAACTTCTGAATGATAGTTTCTTAGGAAATATCGGCATCACTATGCGAAGAACTATCTAAGTACTTCAGATCTGAAAGAGTACCTCCTTGTCTCACCCTTTCAGTTGTTAGCAAATGTGTCACCTTAGGTCCCTTTAACAATAGATCTAAACAATATGGTAATAAAAAGTAACGCATAACCATCAAAATATGAACATAAATAGAGAGGAAGTCATCTTGTAATTCATTGAAGGATTGATTACAGAGGATGTAGATGGAGAAAGCACAATGTCACTGTCAACTGCCAAAAAAAAAACGAATCAAGATATGTTGCTAACTACTTCTCTATACATTATTTATAGTACAAATGGAATACTAAAAATACATGTATGTAAGATACTGACTACTAGAAACAAGACACATGTTAAAACAAGAAAGAATCACTAAGTAACAAAGTAACTCTGAATGTATCTACGGATAAGCACTTAAGACTTTCACTCAGACTTCTGAGTCTTCAGGTTTAGATCCCTGGGTCTTCATATTCAAATCTCTAAGCTCAATTCTGACACAACCTTGAGAGTTTCCAACATATAGCATTTGTTTGCTTGAAGCAACTCTAGATCTAGATCTACAATCTCCTTTTTTTGCTTCAAAGCAAATCCTTCACAATTGAATAGAACTTGATTAGGATCAAATCTCTGAAATTAACTTGTACGTTTATCATATCTTTAATAAATTTTCAAGTCTCTAGATTTGTCTCTCTGCTCTTGTCAACCCCTTTCTAAATGCTTTTAGAGTACCACTGCAAAAATTTAACACTCACTTGATCTAAAAATGTGTTTCTTGTTCTCATATCTATAGATAAGCCCTTCTTGAGGTAGGTGAGGGATCAAATTCAAACCAAGTCATTTATATAAAAATTCATTCAACCAATCATAATACTCACACACACTATTCACCTTTGGTGTGATTTGAACCCTTGGTGTTATGAAGTATAAACTTTATTGTTAATCCGGTTATCGTTGGACCAATGGTTGGGATTTACTAATAATCTACATATGTCCAACCCATGACACTTTGGTTTGAGTTGCCTATGTCTAGCAACCAAATCAAAAGCAAGTGATTGCCAAACCAGCTGATGATAAAATAAATCCCTAGTGAAAATCAAGATTGGTACTGAAGTTGACTTTGATATTGATGTGGTATAAGGAAGTTGGTCTTTAATGGCTTGTCATATGGTATGGGTAGAAAATGTGTGATTGTTGAATTCGAATGAATAAACAAATTAAGATTCAATTGTTTTTATTGTTAGAATCATGTTGAATAAATCAAGAAAATAAGGTTTCATTGTTTTTATTGGTAAATGTTGATCGGAATAAGCTTCTCAATCTTCTAAATGGCAAGGTTTTGATAAATGATCCCTAAAGAGTTTTCACATTCACATTTTACTTATTAGGTAAGATTCTTGGTATGTTCATCTGATAAAATAAAGAACTCAGTAAGCGTTTATCTAGTTGGCAAATGACATGTGACCCCTAATTATATGTATGGTTCATGAGTGATGAGACAAGACACTTCCACATAGGTTATCATTATTAGTGTGTATAAAGCGATGTTATACATGAGTACATCAGGATTTTGGGTTACAAACATCTAACATCATCGTATAAGATATCGTTTACGTTATCCCATCATTTAATCATTATACACAACCATATGAATAAATGTAATCAAATAAAAAATAAGTTTGAGTTAAATAAATTTAATTATAGAAAAATTGACTTGTATTAATTTTATTGATCAGACAGAAATGTAAAGTGGAATTTTGGAGATGATATATAAATCACACTCTAATTGGGTGTACTTTGATTTTTCACAAGAAGTTTGAAGTTTGAAATTAATGGTGTTGGGAATAAGAATTGGCAGGCCCTCACTTCATACATATACATAGTTAGTTAGAGTTGGGTTCACGTGAGATCAAGGATTTTTCATGAGACCCATAAGATTGATTTATGTTCATTGATCAACTTTATAAGCTAATGATCTAATGGTCTAAAGTTGCACGTTGACAATTTTATGATTATTGAGAAGTTTCGTGGTGTTTATGAATGTTCAGATTGTCAGATCATAGATCTAATCCAAGGATTAAGAATTGGTCTTACGAATCTCACGAAAAACCTTTGGTCTCACATGATCCCAAATTTAGTTAATTAACTTCTATAATTAAAATTGGAAATTTGTAAGTTTATAATTAAGTGAAAATTCTTCATATTTACAATTTTCTACCTAATTTATGACTTACGATATGAACCTCTTTTGAAAATTTAAAAATATAATTGCTTTAAATTATCAATTCCTTATTATTTCATTTAATAATTTATGTTATCAATGCTTTGTAAAACAATATTTTGTAAATTGTGTAATATTACTTGCATTTAATTTTAAGTTGACAACAGTTAAATTGTTTTACATATTATGTAAGTTTATATAAGTTGTATCTTCTTAAAAATGTTTTGGTCTATTTTGGTCCTTAGACAAACCCAACCTATTTATAGAACGGAAGGGAGATGGACAAATTTTCAAGCCCATAAATGACATAATATCCTCTTTGCACTCGTTCACCTGCATCACAACACAAGCACTCTCCAAAACAAAATTTAAGGGGTATTTGAGATGGTTTCTTTGAAACAACTTATAAGTAAAAATAATTTAACTTCTTCAAAAATCTCTTATTACCAATTTGAAATCAATATAAATTATTTATCCAAACATTCAAAAATACTTCTTAAATATGTCACATTGAAATAAGCCATTAAATCAAGAAAACCCCATCTTTCCTTGAAAGAAAAAAGGGTTACAAAGTTTTAAGAAAAAAGAAGCCAATGGCTTAAGAATTCAGGATTTTGACACAAACTAAAGCTCTAAAAAGTCGATATGTATAACTTCTTTATACTCGAAACACACCGATATCTAATATGTATATATAAAATATATAAAACAGTAACAAAATTTCATATCTCCATCCACTCTTTACGAACCCAATCAGAAACAGGAAGGTCTAAAACTTATTTGTTTTTTAATTCAATATGTGCTTCTGTCACGGCCCCTTTACAACACAAATCAGCACATGGCCTTCTATCATATACAGCTGTAGCCTGTATGAATGACACCACCCACCGATCACTTTTCCCTTTTTCTAGTTCAGTTCCATCAATTTCATCATTTCAGCCCTAATTCCAACCAACAAAATCCCTAATACACAGCATGAACATGAATAATTAGAAGATGAGAGGAAGAAGTGACAATCTCCGTAACAAAAGAATCCATAAATATAACATCACATGATCAGTAAAATCATCAACCCTATGCATATGCACTCGACCAAGTAAAAGAGACATACAATAATTTTAGTAACAATAATGACCTACAACCACTACTAAAAATTAATAATTATAATCATAATCAATAAACTAAAAAAGTATCACAAGAATCAAAAGCCATAAAATGAACATGAAAAATCTCTTCAAACATATCAGATCTCTACAGAACCAAAGCAGCGGCTAAGGCAACCACAGCCATAGATCCAAAAGCGACTGTGTTCAAGCTAGCGGAGTTTGAAGGTGAAGAAGTAGGAGATCCGGTAGGAGCGGATGAGCTAGAAGGGGAAGTGGCCGGAGAACCATCCGGAGAAAGGGAAGGAGGAGGAGCAGGTGGAGAAGCTGGTAAAGGAGACTCAGATGGTGCCGATGTAGGAGAGCTCGTTGGAGGAGAGACAACGGAAGAAGGAGGCGATGCAGTGGGAGTAGCCGTCGGCGATACCGTCGGAGATCCGGTAGGAGACTGAGCCAGAGCAGATCCAGCGATCATAGCAAACAACAGCACCATAACAAATGTCGAAGACGCCATTGTTATATTCTTCAAGCAATAAAGTAATCTGAAATTCGAGAGAGAGAGAGAGAGAGAGAGAGAGAGAGAGAATTTTGAGAGAAAATGGAGTCGATGAAAGTGGAACAGAGAAGGAGGGTTTATATACAGGGTTTAAAGTCGGTTTTGGAGAGATGAAATCTGTGCCGTTGGTTGTTGTTGTATTCCGCGTGAAACAAATCAGCGTCACCACCGACTTACACGTTTCCACAATAGAAAGAATCTGAGCCCTACAGATCATCTGTAACCTGTACCGTTGGATTAAAGCACCGAGGTCGTCGATTAATAGAAGAATGAAAATAAATTGTTAAGTTCCAGGTTACCGTTATAATGAGGCACGTTGTGGGGCTAATTATTTAAATTATTTTGGTGGCATCCAACGGGAAACACAAATCATACCTTATTTTATTACATTTATGTTCCTTTTTTTTCACTTGTCTTACTCATAATTCCGTTGTAAATCCCACCAAAAGTTTATTTAATCTTAAAAATGTTATTCCTTTTTTCTATTTATTTATATTTTATTGCTAACAATTTTTTTTATATAAATCAAGTGTATTAAATAAGGATAAGGATAGTATAAGAATAGAAATTATTGTGAGACACATAATAAGATATATGAATCTTTATTCACATTTGATCTCATACCATTCATGAATTATACTTTATAAGATAATTGATCCGGTTCATTTACGTATACTTTATTAGTGTTGACATTCAATTAAAATCGATTTAAGAATGAAGATCTTTTTTACATTTATCATCATAATTTTTCTTTTTACCGAAATCCAACTCATTTACATAAACAAATGTTTTATTTTTTAAGTATAAAGGTTAAATTTATATATGTCTTATATCTACAAATCCACTCTTAAATATAGTACTGAAATTATTTTGTTTAATTTGATATGGTTTATGTATATAAACAGAATAAAAACTAATGATTAATGATTTGAAATCCCTTCTAAAGAAATTATATCTATAAAAGGAAAACTTTATTGAAGTAACATCATGAGAATTGAATATTTTCCAATAGTGGATTGTGGTTGAATTTTAGTAACCTAATAGGGAGGGCACCTTTCCAACCTGAAAGTTTTTTGGTGAATTTTTCTCTAATGTACCACATTGGTGAAAAGTTAAAAGATTTGAACAAAATAAAAATGTATTAGAAAGTTGGATTGGATGTCTTTATGTTAAATTATGGGGTTTGCCTCACAATAACCCTCTTTGAAATCTATAACTATGGTTGGAATCAAAACCAACCAAATAATAAAAATTATAGTGCAAATTAATTACATTATATTATATGTGTGTGTGTATATATATATATATATATATATAAGTAAAACCTTGGGATATTGAGATGACATAGATGTCTTTGTGTCAAGTCATGAGTTTGTCTCATAAAGGTGTCTTATTTTGAATGACTCTTTATAAAATCTATAACTATGGTTGGGATCAAAACCAACCATATAATAAAAATTATAGTGCAAAATTAATTATATTATATTATATACTAAGTGATAGGGGCTTTGTGAAATCTTCTAAGATGTTAATAGGTAAAAGAATTGGAGTTGGTTGAATATATTTCCCGAAACAACCTAATTTTTTTTTTTGTTAAGACCCGCATAGAAATATGCTATATTAGGGCAAAATGCGTGAAATAGCAACCTATTTTTATAAATTTTCTTGTTATAGCATTTTACTTTATGTTTTTCTTATTTACAATAATGTACTTTCAAATTATTTTTTGTTAGAGATCGCACTTTCAAAATTTTACATGTTATAGCATTGGATAACCTTTTAAATTAAATTTATCCATTATACCAGGTTTCTTTGTCATCTCATCGTCCACGTAGGCTGTCCACATATACAATAGTGTTGATATGACGTTTCTTATTATAACATTGTACTTTCAAAATTATTTTATTATAACATCACCAATTTCTATTACAACATTGTACTTTTAATTTTAATATTTTTATCATTTAAACATTGTAAATTCAATCAAATATATTTATTAAAAACTATAATATTAAATTGTATTGGTGATGCTTATATGTGTTAGCTATATTGGTTTGTTTGTAGAGTTTTAAGATAAGAGTGTTTTTTAATTTTAAAAAATATAATATTTAATTAACAAAAACTTAAATAATGGTAAAAAAAATATTAAAGGATTAAATACATGAAATAGCAACTTACTTTCATGATTTTTCTTATTATAGTATTCTACTTTTGTTTTTCTTTATTACAATAATGTACTTTCAAATTATTTTTTATTAAGGCATCGTACTTTAAAAAACTTACCCATTATAGCAATGAGTAACTTGTTACCTTTTAAACTGGTTAACCCTTTGACTTTTTTTGCTTGTGTGGCTTTAATGAGATGACGTGAGGATGACACATCATTTTGATGACTTAATTAAAATAAAAACTTAGTTCAAATTATTATTAGTGATTTTCATTTTTTATTGCTATGATTAAAAAAAACATTTAATTTTTTTACATCTTCTTATTAAGTTGCATGCAAATTAAATATTTTAGAGTAAATATTTCTTAAATATGCTACATTATTTTTTAGATATATTTTGTTTGTAAAAAAGGTAACACTTCTTATTTTATGTTGTTAAAAAAATACATATCTTTTCAAGTTCTCCCTAAAATGTTAACGAAATAAATTGTGTTCTACAATTTTAATATTTTTATATCAATAAATAATTCAAAAAATCTAATTAATTTAATATATTTATACGTCAAGTAAAAGTTTTTGACAAATATAATATATTCTTTAAAAGATAATATTTTTTTGGTAAAAAAGAAACAATTCTTATTTTATTTTTCAAAAAACACATATTTTTTTAAAAATATTAACGAAATAAGTTGTCTTCTACTACTTTTATGAATATTAGTATATTAATGAATAATTTAGAATTTTTTAATTCATTTAATATATTTATTAAATAATATGTAAAATATCTAAATATTAAATTTAAAAGTACGCTGTTTAATAAGAACTAGTAGATGTTATAATAAAATAATTTTGAAAGTACAATGTTGTAATAAGAAAGTCACATCACTATAGTACATGTGGACAACCTACGTCGATAATGAGGTGGCATGAAAACCTGGTATAATGGGTAAATTTAAATCAAAAGGTTACCAAATGCTATAATGGGTAAATTTTTCAAAGTACAATGCTCTAATAAAAAATAGTTTGAAAGTAAATTGATGTAATAAGAAAAACTGGAAATACAATGTTATAATAAAGAAATTTATGAAAGTAGATTGTTATTTTGTGCATTTTGCCCAATATTAAACTTCATGTACGGTTTCATATATTATTGCATATATGTTAATGCTAAAAGAAATTATAGATTTGGGTGTCTTTTGTCTTCTATAATATGTCAAAAAACAAAATAGAAAAAAACGATATTATAATCTCAAATAATACTTATAAATAATTTTTGGTAAACATATTTGATTAAATTTACCATGTTTAAAGGATAAAAATATTAAACTTAAAAGTACAATGTTGTAATAGAAATTGGTGATGTTATAATAAAGTAATTTTGAAAGTACAATATTATAATAAGATCTGACATGTCAGCACTATCGTACATGTGGACAACCTACATGGACGATGAGGTGGTAATAAAACCTGGTATAATGGTAAATTTAATTTAAAAGGTTACTCAATGTTATAACGGGTAAATTTTTGAAAGTACAATATTCTAATAAATAAATATTTTGAAAATACATTGTTATAATAAGAAAAAAGAAAAGTAGAATGTTACGATAAAGAAATTCGTAAAAGTGGGTTGCTATTTCGCTCATTTTGGCCTAATAACCTTGGGGCATTGAGATGACACCATGAAAATTGAGTATATTCAAACGGTGAATTATGGTTGAGTTTTAATTGTCCACATTGGTGAAGTGTTGAAAGATTTGAATAATATGAAGTTTATAAAAAGGTGGATTGGTGCATTTGTGTCAATTCATGAGATTGACTTATTTTGGATGACCATCTTTGAAATTTATAATCATGATTGAAATCAAAACCAATCAAAGGGTAAAAATTATAGTGCAAATATTAAATAAAAACCAAAGATGATGACTTTACAACATGAGGTTTGAGTGTTCCACAAATATGAAAGAAAAATCTTGAGGTATTAAGGTGGCACCATTAGAATGAAGGTTTCTCAAATGGTGGATTGTGGTTGAGTTTTAGTCGTCCCACATTGGTGAAGAATTGAAAGATTTAAACAAAATGAAGTGTATAAGAAATGTAAATTGGATGCCTTTGTGTCAAACAATGGGGTTTGCCTCATATGATTATCTTATTTTGGATGACCTTCTTTGAAATTTATAACCACAGTTGGAATCAAAACCAACCAAATGGTAAAAGTTACAGTGCAAAATTAATTTTATATATATATATATATATATATATAAGTAAAACATTGGGCTATTTAGATGACACTATAAGAATTGTGTATTCTTAAACAGTGAATTGTAGTTGAGTTTAGATGTCATACATTGGTGAAGAGTTGAAAGACTTAACCAATCTGAAGTGTATAAAAAGCGGGATTGGTGTCTTTGTGTCAATTCATGGGGTTTACCTTATACGGTTGTCTTATCCTCTTTGAAATCTATAACCATGGTTGAGATCAAAATCAACCAAAAGAAAACCTTGGAGTATTGAGGTGACACCATGAGAATTAAACATTCTCAAATGGTGGATTATGATTGAGTTTTAGTTGTCCCACATTAGTTGAAAGATTTGAACAAAATAAAGTGTATAAGAAAGGTGGATTGTATGTTTTTATGTCAAATCATGTGGTTTGTCTCATAGAATTGTCTTATTTTGGATGACTCTCTTTGGAATCTATAACTATGGTTGGAAACAGAACCAACCAATGATAAAAATTATGATGCAAATATAAAAGTGAAACCAATGATGATGACTTGACAACATGAGATTTGAGTGTTCCTCAAATATGGAATAAGGTTGACTTTCATCATCTCACATTGATAGAAAGATGATAGTTTGGAAGAAATGATGG